AATGCCTGGCCACGCGTTCCGCCACGCTGGAGCTCTGGCCCAACGAATGTTGTGCAATGTTTCTTTGTAGGCAGTGGAGCAGCTTTGCTGGCTGCCACTCGGGGCTCAGATTAAAACACACTGATTGCAGGAATCTGAAAGGAAGGCAACGTGAGCCACAGGAGAGCTTGCTTGAAAAGGCCCCGAAAGTTTAATCCACTTCTGTCCCAAATCCTTGAGTCAGTGCAGATGGGGGGGATGACAGACTCCCTTGAGGGCCTATCTCCTGGCTGGCTCTATAGCCTTAATCTGGTAACACTAAAATTTTCAGTGATCAAAATTAATGCCTTTAATTTAGTCACATGGGAAGGAGTTCCAACCAAACTCCAGGAGTGACAGTGTCCCTGGAAAAGGTTGGACAAAAGTACTTTAGAACTGGTAAGATTTTTCCATACATACATGTTTTTTCTGCCTTCAGTTCTACCTTTTGTCTGGCCCAATTATTTTGAAAGAATAATTTTGTATCCTGTGTTCTCAGCACAGTAGGACCCTGTAGGATCACAGTAGGATCACTCACCAGGCTTTTCCAAAACACCTGATTCTTGGTACTAAAATGTCTGGGACTAGACAGCCATAGGCCATATTCAGCTCTGCCTCATGAAGAGCAACCCTATGGAAAACCTCCACAACTAGTCCCAGCTCTTGCATTCTGAGTTAGTAGAAGAAGAGAAAAAAAGAAGGTGGATCCTACTGCAAATCTCATTGGAGCCTCGATGAGAACCTTTCATTTTGCAAGGAAAAAAAACAGTTAAAAAAAGAATATTCACCTTATGGCAAGCCTTGGGCAGAGAGGAAGTCATGAGGGTGGTTAGCTCAAAAGCAAAAAAACACTAAAAAACACTTCTAGTCACGTGTCACTGATAAGATGGTTTCAGGTGAACATCTGTCCAGGAAGGCAAGTGCCAGTGTAACAGAGCAGCTCGAGACGTGCGAAGGACACCAGATCTGGGCTTCCAAGCCACCTCGCAGTCAGTACACCTGCAAATGCTGCCCCAGGCCTGCAGCAGGGAGCACAGGGGCTGACAGCACAGAAGGAGGTGGATTTATTTTATACTAAGGTTAATTTTAAAGCTGGTAGGAAGAGGTTTAAATTAGAAATGACGATACATCAGGGCCCAAGCAATGTAGGGGAGTTCAAGAGCGCTCTGACAGCTCCCTGGCATGGTCGATCGAGGAGCTAATAAGCAAAGGTGCTTGCCTGGATCTCACACTTAGAATCAAGGAAGAACTGGTTGGGGACATGAAGGCGGGGTCAGCACTGGGTGCAGTGACCGTGAGATGGTGGAGATCAGGACCCTAAGGCAGGAGAGTGGCACAAAAGGCAGGACCACAACTCTGGTTTTGAACAGCAGACTTCAACCAAGAATTCTGCTTGTGATATGGTCTTGGAGACCATAGGTGTCCAGAAAAGATGCCTGGCTTTCAAAGATCACCTCCTCCAAGCACTGGGAAGGTCCATCCCAAGCACAGGCAACAGAAGGGAGGCAGACTCTTTTCAGTAGTGTTCCCTGACAGGATAAGAAGCACAAATGAAAACACATCAGATTCCACCCAAACACAAAAAACCCTTTTTTTTTTTTTTACTGTGAGAGTACCTCAGAATGAGCCAGTTACCCAGAGAGGTTGTGGAGTCTTCCTGCATGGAGATACTCAAAACCCAACTGGACACCATCCTTGGCAACTTGTGCTAGCTCACCAGCCAATTTCATTGATTCTGTGATGCTGTGAAATATCTCCTGTTTTCTCAAATGCAAAAAGAGACACAGAGCTCCAGGAAGCTTGATGTGTGTA